CATCAAGGGAGAAGAGCAGGAGTGGAATGTGGGACCCTATCCAGAGAAGCAGCAGTGCTGGGGATAGAGGCAGAGATGATGATGACATGGAGAGATGGAGCAGCTGAGGTCTCTAGACTCATGGAAAGCAAGGGGCTGTGTGCTGGCAGGCAAGGGGCAGGCTTGAAGAGCGTGACCTTTGGTTGTTTGGATGACTGTATATTCCTGAGTGTTTTGGTGTACAAACAAAACAAAAAAACAGAGGGAATAGAGGCAGGTACTGTTGAAAGATAATGCATGGAGGGCAATGCAATGAAATAAAATAGGATAGATTGAATGTAAAATTGATACTGTCCCATGTAAACTATCACTCAGTTCACAATAAAAGTTTTAAAAAAAAATCAACAAAGCACCTTTTTGTAATCTCATTTAATGTGCCATTTTTTTAAAAAATTGCATCTAAGTAAAATAGTTCTCTTAATTACAATGCCCTGTGCCACCTGACTTCCTGTTGAATTTTCTTTATGATTATTTTCATGCTAAGTACTGGTGTATGATCCTTCTTTGTCAGTAATTAGGTGTCATTTATAATATAGTTCTTGATTAGCTTAATTTATCCAAATAAGCCTGGACTTTTTAGTTTACTTTCATTTTGCCTGCTTTATTTATATGTTTCTAATGGCATGCCCTTATGTATATGAGAACACCAAAGAAATTATTTTGATCTGCTCCCTAGCTTTTTAACGTGAAAGGCTGCTAAAAGATTTGTCGTATCAAGTTGCAAGTGCTACATGGAATATGTTGAAACCTCTCAAATTGCTCCTATCTCTTTTCAGTCTTGATTTCTGACAATTTAAAAAACATTACTATTTAAAGATTCAGGAATTACTTGCATTAAGCAACATTTTGTAATGTTATTACAGTGGACATAAAATAGTGGACTAAATGCCCTAATTCCAGACAGTGTCAGATTTCGTGCTAAGCTTGACAGAGACTCTCTCTTCATTTACAATCACCACTTCCCCACTTCATAATGTTTAACTTAGTCAAAAGCTCTACCTGAGAATTTGATATATGGCTTTAGAAAGTTTCTGTGCTTGATATGGGAGAAGGTTGAAACTTAACATTTTAGACTTGTTATTTGCCTAAAATGTCTGGAGGGACTCAAATATGGACTGTTGTACATGTGGTCAAGATCCTTGCTATCCCACCCTATATAAATACATTCCTTTTCATTTTAAGAAGTAGTGCTTGCTCTGATATATAATCAAATGAGGCTCCATTTGCAACATCGGAATACAATACAAAGGCAATGAAGGATGTATGTATGCATGGATTTTGGGTTTTGAAGTTACCTGTTCTTCTCGGGAAGTTCCCTTTTTTGCTTGCTGTTTCCTCAAAGCTTCATATTTTTGTTTTTCTCTTTTGTATTCTGCAACAGCACCATCTGATGTAGCTTCTTCCTCTGAAAAACAGAAGAATATTCTTAGAATGTGTAGTAAAAAAGGGTCTGTGAATTTATATTTACGTATATGCTTGTAACAGAAAGAGGAAGTCAAACCTAGTCTATATTTTCTTTCATTTACTTTTAAAAAATAAAAGTCCACCACCTCCAAAATGCTTCTTAGATTACAGCAAGTGATTGATGTCAATCTAGTCAGCAAATTTATAGACATTTAAACATTTATATTAGACATAAAAAACATTTATATTAGGGTCACTATGAATCGGAACCAACTTAAAAACAACAACATTGTAATTGTGCTTCTCATTTATACTTGTTGTTGTTATGTGCC